GGATTCAGAATTTTGCTTCATAGGAGAGCATCTGAGGAAGTGAGCAAGGCTTCATGCCAAGAGCTGAAGATCACTGCAGACTCTCAGCAGCGAGGCAGGTCTCGGGCCTTTCTCCTGAGCATCCAGTGGAGGCCTGGGGAAGAGATCCTGAAAGCGAATGTGAACTTGCTTTGCGCGGAGGGGCCCCAGCCATTCCAGACAAATTAGTCCCTTCTTTGCCTTAACAATTCAATAAAATTTTACTGGATTTCATCTTCCTCACTTGTCTTGTGGCTGGATCTTTCTGCAGTGCTCCTGCCACAGGTGAGATGGTTTGGCTGTCCTCTCTCCTCAGAACTCAAGATTGCCTAGTTGCCTTTCCGATGAACTCAAGAAAAGTCATGACTTTATAGTTTATTCGCCTTTTTATTGTTGTTGGGGCAAGAGTGTTTTTTGCAACATTCTATACCCTAAGCAAATGCAGAAACCCATACTGACTATTAATATAATGGGGTTACAGGTAATTTAGATTCTCTATATTATATATTTATGTAACATTTGAATTTTTATAAGCATATTTTGGTTTTATAAGCAGAAAAGAAAAAATGAGCCAGGATTCTTTAGAGAAACCAAACCAATAGTGTGTGTGTATATATATATATATATATATATAAATATAGAACAAGATTTATTATGAGGAATTGGCTCATGCAATTATGGGGGCTGAGGAGTTCCAAGATCTGCAGTTGGCAAGCTGGGGACCCCGAAGAGCCGTTGGTGTAGCTCCATTCCAAGTCTGAAGGCCTGATAACCAGGAGCACTGATGTGTGTAAGCTCCAGTCCAAAAGCCAGCGGACTCAAGCCCCAAGAAGAGCAGATGTTTCGGTTGGGAGGCACAGTTAGGTAGGAGGGGTTCCTCTTACTCAGCCTTTGGTTCTATTCTGGTCTTTAACCAATTGGATGAGGCCCACCCACACCAAGGAGGGCAATCTGCTTTACTCAGTCTACCAATTGGAAAGTTAATCCCCTCCAGAAACACCCTCACAGACACATCCAGAATAATGCTTGACCAAATATCTGGGCACCCCATGGCTCAGTCAAACTGACACATAAAATTAACCATCATAATGTTATAATAATAATAATAATAATAATAATACCATCATAATTCTGGATAGCCTCTTAAGGCTGAGACTGATCTGGGAGGCTCAGTGGTGCCAAGACTTTTTCAACCCCCTCTGTTCCAGTGGCCTGGACACCCAGCTGACTTTTGATTCCCAGAAGCCACTCACTGAGAAATGCTGTCCAGTCTGGACCCACCCAAGCCAGACCCTCCTCCTGATGACAAAAGAAGAGCTGAGGCCCCCACACAGAGATCCTCCCCTCAAAGGCATCTCACTACGCTGCGGCATTGGGAAGCCATGTTTGCCAGCCCTGTGGAAGAGCAGTAGCCCACAAAGCTTGGGCTGGACAGGTTGCTCACCCTCACCATCCAAAAGTCACGAGGCACCTTTTGTAAGCAGAGGGCTTGCTCCAGATCCCCAGAGCTTCCAGCAAAAAGTGTTTCCAGAGGTAACCAATGACGCTAGTGGTCTAGTGGTTTCCTTTTGAATGTCGCCCACCCTGGCCTGTGCTCAAGTTCTCAAACTTTAAAATTCAGATTCCTACATCCTACCCACAGAGATCTGTATTCAATAGGTCTCATGTGCGGCCCAGGACTCTGCGTGCTTTACCAGCACCCCAGGATTCCTAGAAGCATTGTTTCCAGCCTCACCAGACCCAGGAAACATTCACGGACATTCCTTTCATGGAGCATCCTGCGCAAGTCCAGAGGTGCGTTAAATTCTCCCATGTTCTCACACATGCTCCACAAAGGAAGTCAGGCACAGAAAGCAAATCTTGCACGACTCCATATATACCAAGTCCCAGAATAGGCGAGAGTCATGTACAGTGACAGGATTCAGCGGCTGTCTGGGAAGGCGCACAGGGGCAGCTCTGGAGAGATGGAAATGCTCCAGAACTTAATCCGGTGTGTGAATTTGTCAAAAGTGATGGAGCTGTACACTTAAAATGTGTGAGTTCTCTTATGTGCAAATCATACCTCAGCGAAGTTATTTTGAAAAGCTTATCATGTGTTGTCTCAGAAAAAGGATATTCCAGATATTTACACCCTGTGCTCCCATGGCGTCACACGATGACATCCTACAGCATGTGTATGACTCACCGTTTCTTTCGTGCATTAGGTGCCGCGTGCCAGCAAGTCACCCTAGGAGGGTGACTGTGTATCAGGCTCCCACTTGATCCAGTAAGACCAGGTCCAGGCCCTTGGGCAGGGTGCTTAGAAAAGAACTGGCCAGTGGAGTGAGTGGTCCTGTCTTGTGGAAACTCCGTGTTTAGGCAATTCTTGCATTCCAGTCCCCTGCTCCACACCACACTCTTCTGGATGGAGGGACACACACACACACACACACACACACACACAC